ACTCAAGCATATGGAATAGACTATGAAGAGACGTTTGCACCAAATGCTAAAATGAATACTCTAAGGATTCTTCTATACTTAGCTGCTCATTTTGATTGGAAACTACTTTAGTATGATGTTAAAAATGTCTTTCTTCATGGAGACTTAGAGGAAGAAATCTACATGAACATCCCACAGGGGGTTGAAGGAGATAGACAAAATAAGGTGTGCAGACTTAAGAAGGCACTATATGGACTGAAACAATCTCCTAGAGCATGGTTTGGGAGGTTCTCAAAAGTTATGAAGGGATTTGGATACAAACAAAGCCAAGGAGACCACACGTTGTTCGTAAAACATTCAGAAAAGGGGAAGGTAACAGTTCCTTTGGTGTATGTGGATGATATTATAGTAAATGGGAATGATGAAAAAGAAAAGGAAAAATTGAAACAAAGACTAGTCTAAGAATTTGATCTCAAAGAGCTTGGAAAACTGAAATATTTTCTAGTAATTGAAGTAGCATACTCTACCCAAGGAATCTTTATATACCAACAAAAATACATAACTGATTTGATTTGTTGGCTGAGACAAAGACTATTGGATGCAGACCCGCAACCACTCCAATGGACCCCAATCACAAACTGAGTAAATCTGGAGATGAACCAGAAGTAGAAAAAAGGATGTACCAGAGTCTGGTTGGAAAATCAATATATTTGGCACATATCCGACCAGATATTGCTCATTCGATAAGTGTAATAAGTCAGTTTATGCATGAACCAAAGGAGTCTCACCTTCAAGCTGCATACAAGATTCTACATTACTTAAAAGGAACTCACGGAAAGGAAATCCTATTCAAGAAGAATGAAAAATTGAACCTTGAAGCCTACACCGACGTAGACTATGCAGGACCTCTAATTGATAGAAGATCAACTACTGGATATTGTACTTTCCTGGGTGGAAATTTAGTTATATGGAAAAGTAAAAAACAGAATGTAGTGTCTAGATCATCAGCCAAATCAGAGTTCAGAGCACTTGCTCAAGGAATATGTGAATTATTATGAATAAACATTATTCTGGATGATTTGAAAGTTGATTTGAAGGGTATCATGAAACTATACTGTGATAATAAATCAGCAATAGAAATTGCACATAATCCTGTTCAACATGACCGTACAAAACACGTTGAAATAGATAGACACTTCATCAAAGAAAAAGTAACAAGTAGCGGATGTGTTAACAAAAGGTCTTAATAGCCCTATCTTATAAGATCTTATAAGCAAGCTGGGAATGACCAATATCTATTCCTCAGCTTGAGGGGGATGTCAGAATATGTGAATTTATTACACAATAAATATAACAATTAATATAGCAATTATGTGTAATCCCGAAATTATGTGTAATCCCTAAAATTAAGGAATTAGGATTAGTAATTATTTGGCAAATTTCCTTTTATTAAGATTAGGTATTATTGGGTAGATATCTCCTTATTTAGAGACTTTATTTCAGGAGATTTTTTACCTTAATGGTTTGTTTCTTTTTAAACACCTATATATATTGTTTCAAAAGTATAAAAGAGAGAATTATTAATTCCAGCGTCCTAATTCTGTTCTCAACAAAAATCATAAATAAAAATCAATCCAATCTTATTGGGCTGAATCAAGGGATAACTCAACCAAGGGTGTTGCTCCCTCCACCCCCACACATCTCTTCCTCCACCTCCCCTTTACTATTTTGCCCCTTCCTCCACCTTTCCTTTACTATTTTGCCCCTCAGTTAAACAAATTTTATTTTTAAAATTATTGTTTTTTAATTTATTCATTTATAACATATTTCACTGATAACCTTACGTAGTTCCTTGTATGCGTAAAAATTTTTTCTACCAGCTTGGTTGATCGTGAAAAAGCATTATTCAAACAATCTTCTTCTTGTGTTTCTCGGTGCAGTAGATTGTGGCAGTGCAGTTTCTGGTGTAGTGTCATAACTTTTGTATTCGAGAACGGTTTA